GAGACAAACCAATGAAAGAAATTGGTATTATAACAGCAATTCCTCGCATTAACCAGTCTAGAACAAACAAACAGGCGAAATTCATTCAACCTCATATATAATTAATAAACGTCAAACATTATGGCTGGATAATCCGCCACAGTTGATCAACGAAAAGATAATTTCGACAGTCCAAGGTTCATTCGCTTGGAACTGTAATTGGTACAGGATTCTATGAATCAATTACATTATTTGTATTAAAGTATTTAAGCTAAGGTAGTTCACACTAATCTAAGTATGAGAATTAGTGTAATTATATGCAATGTAAGTTGCATGTGGTAAAATGAGTTAAGTGAATATTGAATTATTTTATTTAATTATTGATTTATTTTTATTTTATATATATTTTAATTATTTAATAAACAAATGTGTTAAATTGTGCACCTTACATGACACTTATATAGTGAATAGATCATAAAGCCTAATTCTGCAAAATTAACGCATGATATATTTGGCTCAAGTTACTTATGTCAGTTCTCTTATTTAGAGCATTCGGGTGTTTAAGAATTGAACACATTTCCAAAAACTGTCTTTTAACGAGATTGCGTTCAGTGCCAAGAATCTTAACTTCATTAAAATCCACTTTATGTTTGTTATTGATCGCGTGTTGCGCCAGAGCACAAGTGTGTTTTGATAAATTAATGTCACTACGATGTGTAGTGAGACGACCTTTTAATGATCTACCAGTTTGACCAATATTACATAAATCGCATTCAGCACAAGGAATGTGATAAATCGTGTTTTGTTCCAAAGTGGACAAGGGTGTTTTAGTTTTTGAAAACAAATTTTTAACAGTTTTAGCATTCTTGACAGCAATTTTAACAGGTATGTTATTCTGTTTATACAGTTTAATAAGCTTCTCAGTAACTTGGGGGAAATAAGGTAAAGATGAATAATGGGTGGAAGGATTCTCAAGATCAGTATCAGGCAGAATAATGCTATTAATTGAAATTATTTGATATAGTTCTAAATTGGTCACCATTGGGTATGTCATCAAACGAGGATCCATAACAAGGAAGGATATGAATTCTTTATTCTCTCTACCTTGCTGTTCTGTCAAATTTTTGACCTCAAGGTTAGCTGTCTTTTCACGGTTTAGTTCGGTCTGCTTCAATTAACGCCATTTTCCCGGCGGCAGTAGTGAGGCTTTGATCGGTAGCTTTATTTACACTACTTTTTAAAATAATTTTTTATTAAAATCTATTTAACCTTACCTAACCTAACCTAAAGTTAAAATCAAAGCTAAATAATTATCAAATAGTTGGAAGTGAATCTATGATATTCTTAGTTCTTTTTCACTGCTTAATATAAAATAAAATATTACTTATACTTTAGACCACATGTTCTATTGCTGTGCTAATTTTTTAATAAGTTGCTAAATGTTGTTAGTTAATAGATTGTTTATACAATATTACCGTATAATGTCCATTTACTTGAGTTTTACTCACAAATCTGATAATATCATTGACTGCTACATGTCTTTTTAAGGTAACACTTATAACATCTTCTCCATGATTGTGTGGTTCTCATATTGTACTTTTTAGATGAACTGATGATGCTTTTCAGAATACGAAAGCGAAACGTCTTCAAAATAGATAAAGTAGCCTATCAACTTCGTCTTTTATTTCTCCACCTTGAGAACGATATAAGAACCCACCACTCGTCTGAGTGATCCTTATAATATATATATATATATATATATATATATATATATATATATATATATATATATATAGTAGTGTAGTTTAATTTTATATTATATATATATATATATATATATATATATATATATATATATATATATATATATATATATGCCGGTTTGTTGTACTCTAATGATTTCTCTTGCATTTGCCTCATAAATATAGCGTGGGTGCATGATCTTCCCGAACTAAAACTTTGTTGATCTTCTGCTAGTGTTATAATTTCATTTAGTTTATTTGTTACCATTTTGGCTGTTGATTAAAGTTCTTCGGCCCGATTTGTCTCTATTTTTGAAGAGAGATATTAGGATGCTGATGATCTCAATCTTGTGGTATTCATTTTTGTTCTATAATTTTTTGAATTAGTTTTAATAGTTGTTTGGTCAGATCTAGTCTTTCGTACTTTAGGAATTCATTCGGTACTCTATCCTCTCCTGGCGAATGTCCTTAATGCTTCACTTCTGGTGTTAATGGTTCGTTATCGTCACCTTTAACAAATATGGATCGAAAGTAGCCTGCTCATGTTTCCTTCTGAATGTGTTTTGTTTTTATTAGTTCGTTCATCTCTTTTCTTTGTCCTCTGATCATTATCCATATATCTTTTTTTGTTTCGTATAAGTGTACACCTATATTGGAACCGGATTTCTCCCGATCGCCGGGAGAAATACGGCTCCAATATAGGTGTACACTAAGTCGTGTTCCATCTGTTTTGAGAAGCTCTGCCAGTGTTTCTTTTTGGTTTGTCTGACTAAAGTATTCATTTCATTTCTGATTTTCGTTTATAGTGGTTGTATGCCTGCTGTGTTTACGTTGTTACCTATAAATCATATAAAGGCTTTCATCTTCTCTTCAAATTTTGTCTTCACTTCTTCTCTAATGGGGTTTTCTTTTTTGATATGTTAGTCTTCGTTAGTTTCCTATCTCCAAGTGATTCTGTTGCTGCGTTAATTATAGTTACTCTTAGAGTTTTTTCCAGCTCTCCTCGATGTTGTCGTTTTCTAATATTTCAATCTCAGCAAGCTTTTCTGATATTCTTTTTCTGTATAAGTATTCCGTGTATTCCATATTTAGTCCTTCGAATACTGCTTAAAGAAATATATAGAAGCCTCGGAAACGGATTGAGACCAAGAAATAACCCAAGTACGAATGCGAAACAAATAGACATATGCGCCCTACAGGAAAAAAATAAGGGAAAAGGAACAACAAAATTAGGTGAATATATACTAATCTACAATGGAGTAGAAAAAGAAAACAGGTTCAAAGAAGGTGTAGCCTTACTAATACGCCAAAGATACCAAAATAACATCGAAGAGTGTCTGAATACGTATCAGAAAGGGATTGTAACAATAAAGATAAGAATGGAGAAAAAAACCTGAACATCATCGTAATATATAATCCAGAAAATAACCAGTCTCAAACAACAAGGGAAACACTACGAATTACAACAATTAGTAGATTAAGTCAAGGGAAGATGATAATACTGTGGGAATTTAATGCCCGAATAGGCAACCAATTAATATCAGGAATCAATAAAAGATAAAATAGATAATTTTAGTACTGTTTTATATTCATAAAAAGAACAGTAAAAAAAAATTTATCTTAAAAAAATCTTAGTGCGCGTTATAATAATATTATCTATTCTATTGATTTACATTCTACAAAAGATACAATAGGTTTATGGTAACTAAAGTAGGATACGAAAGTCCGAGATTAATTTTATTCTCAATATCTTGAAAAACTGAATCAATGGTTGTACCATATTTTATTGTAGGACAAAGTGGATTATTGTTTAATGTCAAGTAAAATCTACATTAAAATCACCAGCCAAAATAAGTGGTAGTTCGTAATGTTTGTGACCATCCATTCAGCAATTTATGTATTATACCCGGTTCGCTATTCCCAGTTCGAACTGTCTAGTGATTTTAGTAATTATTTTTTTGCGAAGTTAGTTACTTTTTGACAGACTCGAAGTGGCTGGAAATGTATCCTATAGACAAATTAGATAAAACAAATGTAGTAAACAGCATTAGTTGTACTTAGTGTGAAGCTGAGTATGTTGGTGAGACCGGAAGAAATCTTTCAAATCGCATTATTGCTTACAAAAGTAATTGCAGAATTAAAAAACCATCTTGTGCTTTGGCAGAGCATGTAATCGACAAAGACCATATTATGGATTTTGATAACATTAAAATGTTGTGTAGTGAAAGTAATAAATTCAAAAGGACTTTTATGGAAATGGTTTGTATTAGCAAAAGTGATAATAATTTAAACAAAAGATCAGAAATTCAAAATCTAAGCAAAATTTATAATTATATTATTTCTTTGTAGTTTATATATGAAACCAGTAAAATATCACATTTTGATTTAATTTTCCATATATTTGTTACATTTTTTCAGGCATCTATCAATGGTGAATAAATCTTCTTCTTTTTTGTTACTAAACCAAAAAGTATTTTTAAACAAAATTTTATTTTTGGCAATATAATTGTCAAAAACAAAAATTTTAAGTTGGCATTTATGACATTGAGGCTTAATTGTAATTGGTCGATATTCTAACTTATTTATAAATTCAATTGTTTTTGTGTTAAGAAACTTTTTCAAAATTATATTAAAATTTCAGAGAAGCATTTATTAGATGAGAACATTTTTATAATAATTCTTTTTGAAATATGTTAGCAGCAATTTTATTAACCAAACTAATTTTATTTGGTGAGTTAACAATTTTTTTTTCTTTCTAGTTCAAGTTTCTTTGTAAGATATTTTGTATTTTTTAGCAGCTCTTGATAATAATTGTAAACACAATTGAAAGCTCGATATATATATATATATATATATATATATATATATATATATATATATATATATATATATATATATATATATATATATATATATATATATATATATATATATATATATATATATATATATAAGAAAGCTACGCGTCCAAATATTAATTATATTATTATAACACAATTTCATTTTTTGATGTGTTTTGTTACACAAGTATCAATATAGAAGTTGATATATCGTGTTATCTGGAATAATTAAATTAAAAAAAAACTGCTACAATTATTTTAAACTATATCCTTGTTGTTCTTACTCGTTTCAAAAATAAATGATTTTGAGATATCAGAGCCATTACAATGGGAAATCAAATGACTGACAATTTAAATTGACTATTTCCATATTGTATATTATTTCGTTTATTATATTACATAATGATATCCGATCAATTAGAAAAAGTATACTACTTACCACTTTCTTTATAATAACATGGAATTTTTTTGATAATATGTCCACAAGGGCTCGGTATGTTGCAATTAACCAATTCTTTACATCTTGTTCTGCAGGGTTCATTACATTTTTTTCTTACATTGATGACCGCATGGTAAAATACGGGGACATATACCTTTACTACAATATTTTCTGTCAGCTTCATTTTTACATTCAATTTTTACAACGTGATTGCAGTCTGGTACGGTTTTCTCTACCTATTAAAATAAATAAATACTGAGTGATTCATACATCGAAATTTGAAAGAATTATAAAATTATCTACAGGATGCGGCATTAGTACGAGGAAGTCCAATTACTCATTTGTCGTAAGAGATACAAAAAAGTGGCATAGTAGGCTGTACTGTAGACTAGCGCGAAGATTCATACGAGGTTTTCTGCATTTTACAAATTTAAACAATATTTTTAAAATTCAATAATTTAATTATCTATTTTATTAATTTTATAGATTTTAATGAAAATTGTATAACGAACTCTCCTCGTGGCGTAAATGGACTCTTTCAACTATACATTGTGACGACTATTTCGTAAAAAGCCATATTTAATATGTACTGCTTTAGAAATATCTTTCAAAATAGAGATATGAAAATTCAACTTAAAATAATTTGGTGACATTTACGATGACTTAAATTTTGACCATTTAAGAATCGTTACGAATTAAACTCTAGTATCGATCTTTTATTTTTCTGTTTGTTTTAATACATCTTTTATTGACAGATATTACTTTATTTTTTTTCCTTTCATTGTCTGTATTTTGTCATTTTTCATACAGTTTTTAATTTAAACCATCTTAGAATAAATATGATGACTAAACATGAACTGATGGAGAGTAGTGAATCGATATAAAGACCGCTATTTCGTGACACTACTCGTGATGCCGTCTCGTGGCAGTTCTTCCGCGACGCTCGCCTCAGCATTTTGCTATACAGAAAAAGTAATACAACACCAGTATAGAAGCGTCGCTTCAAAAAATTATTTGGATAAAGGTTGGAGCATAGATAGACCATACTTAGAAAATATTTTTAACTTGAGTTGTATAAGTATTTTCCGAGTTTTCCTAAATGGAACACCCTGTATTTTAATATTGTAATGAAATGTTATTTTATGGCATCATTTCTTAATTCGCTATACCTAATTAATTTAATTTGTGAATTATTCGTGATTCTTCGAGCCAAACATTAACTGCAACAACAATAAGATGAAATTTTATTATCTTCTCATTATTTTATATGTTTATTAATAAATCAACATAAAGTGAAGTAACGTTAATAAATAAAATTAAAAGTAAAACAATGTATTTAATTAACAAAAATACCAAAAAAATCGTAGAATTTATAATAAACGGTCAAAACGGCCTCCGTCGACGTCAATATGCATAATTGCAAGCGATCTTCAAAAGATATTTTTGTTTAACCCCATACATTTATTTTTCATTATCTCCTTCATATCTTGTTTAGTGGTAGCTGGTCTTTTATACACCTTTTATATGGCCCAGAATGCCAGAAAGCCTAGGTTGCTCTGGAGGTCGTGGACGCCCCCTTATGGCTTTCTTCAATTTAGTCCATCTTCCAGAAAAATTATCATTTAAATACTCATTTACTAAAAAATTGTGATGCACTGGAGCGCTATCATATAATATCCACATTCTCTAACGTATGTTCAACGGTAATTCTACCAATAACTCCGAAAATAACTTGTCCAGAAAAAGTAAATACATTTCTCCGTTTACATGATAACCGAGAACGTAGGGTCTGATGATATAAATTAAAAGAATTACAATAAAAAATATATAACGACTAAATTATTTAACTATGGGTGAGAATGTGGTGTAGATTAGAAATTGAGTAATCGTGGAAATTCAGTCTGCTTTTGGAATCATTTTTATGCAAATTAACTTTCTCTCCAAATCAGACGCATTCGAAGAAACATGCATCATTCTGAATTTGTTCCTGCACCAATCGATAAAATTCTACACTTTTATTAAAGTCATCCTCGTTAAGCTGTTGATGCTATTGTACATGACGTGGATGTATCTTGTTATTTTTTAAAATTATTCCTGCACTAATCTCAAAACACTTAAAAAAATACCACTAATTTCAAAAGCATTTGCAATTTCCCTCGTACTAATATGCGGATTATCCGTGGCACTAAGGATTACATCTAATTTATTTTCTTTATTTACAATAGTTTATATTCGATCAGACTTCTCGCACTCTGATTATCCAGTCCGTTGAAACCATTCTAGTAAACTTCGAAAAGCTTCTCTTCGTGTTTATTGTCTATCAGTGAATTTTTTATGATAAATTCTTGTTGATAGTAACACATTTTGGTTACACTCTCCTAGCACTAAAACCTACAAATCATTTCCTTCTTAGAAAAATTCATGTTAGTAATAGAAAAAAAGCAACCAGAAATATAAAATAGCCTAATGTCAAACTTTTAAGCACGGTTAGTATTTTAAAGTCATAGCCCACTCGGTAGAATATTGGTTGTTTTTGTTAATATTTTACACACCAATAATCTTAAGTATTTTGATACCTCATCCAATATTGACAAATTAGGGATCAGTCCAGCTAGATTATGTATTTTTTGTCGAAAAATTATTTTTGATTTAATACTTTCATGGATAACCTAATAAATTGTTGTCAATTGTCAGCAAATACATTGGGTGTTTGCAGTTGAAAACATTCTGACGCCAAATTAAAAGCAAAATTAATTTTAATAATAGATCCATTGATTTATGTTGACATTAAGGAAGCAGCTACAGCTGTGGAGTTGTGGAAGAAATTGAAATCCATGTTAGATGACTCTAGTTTTATCAGAAAAATTGGTTTATTATGCAGTTTAATATCTAGGTTAAAAAGGTTAGAAAACAGTGATTCGATGAATAGTAAGTTATGTAAATCAAATAGTGGAAACGGGACAAAAATTACGTGGTTAAACTCACATACTTGCCCACGGTAGGCAAAGTATTAGACCTAACATCAAAGTCATATAGACAAATAATCATATCGATGTTGCTATTAAAAACGCTAGAAAGGCTTCTGAATATGTACATAAGAGACGAAATATTAAAAGATTTTCCTATAAGCAATTGTCAATATGTACAGCAACCTGGTAAATCTATGGACTCGGCATTGGATGATCTAAATAGGTTTATCTCAACTTTTTTAGATATTGAGGGAGCATTTAATAATGTCAACACCAACTCTTTGACTGAAGTAATGAGTAGATAAGGCACGCCTAGGATAATGTGCAGATAGATAAGGTCTTCTCCAAAGAATAGGATAGTAATATGCAGTCTGGGTAAAGCAACCATCAAAGCAAGGGCAGGTGGAGGCTGTACACAAGGAGGAGTTCTAGAACCTCTACTTTGAACAACTTTGGTAGATGATCTTGGTCCACAAAAGACTTTTCTTGTCTATAATACGCTGGCGATATTGTAATCGTTGTACCTGGACGAATGCAAGTAGCGCTAAATATAGTTGATAAATAGTCTAAACAAGAGAGACTGATAGTTAGTGATCAAAAACACAAATCATCAACTTCACAAAAAAGACAGTATTACAGCACCTAAAACGACCGGTGCTGGGAGGAACAGAGATTCCATTTGCCAAAGAAACAGAAAACCTAGATCATAGGCTTACGTGGAATAATCATATACTCAGAAAACTACGAGGTTCTTGGGCAGATGTAAAAGAATATGTGGTAGGAACTGGGGGCTCGACTCTAAAATGACCTTATGGTTATACACAAAAGGTTATTAGATCAATAATAACCTATGGGTCTGTGGCATGGTGGACAAAGACGCAGCAAGTGGAAGCAATAAAGCTGCTAGTAATACAAAAAGGCTAGCATGACTGTGTATTACGGGACGAGCCTTAAAAACAACTCATACAGAGAAGTTGGAAGTCCTGCTGAATCTACCCCCATATACAGAACGAAGACAGATCACTTGGACTTTGTTCTTCCTACAGTGGGTCTCAAACTTAACATAATAAAAACATTTCCTTTTTTCCACCCAGTGTAAATACCAAATCAAAATGTCAAGTCATAGATGAAACGACATTCGGTAAAAATTAGTAGTGACTACACTAGTGTACATTACCAACACACTTGGTAAATTAGGGATTCCAAAGCTAACACTAGTTATAATTTTTTGTCGATTCTATGTATTATATCTTGTACAATTTTTATATATTCAACAAAAAACCCCTTATCTAGGTATTATTTTACTTTTTATTATTTAAAATTTAAATAAATGTCAAAATTCTCGGAGAGTATATTACTCACTTTAGCAATGCTAGTACCAAGTTCTTATGCATTATTTCACTCTGTTTATAAAACGTTAAATAATTAATGAAAGCTTCATGCATTTAAAGAGAAATGTAACTAAAACAATGAGAAAATATATTTAAGCATATGAGTACATACCAACTCTTTACAATCTCCACAAAGTTCATCACATTTTTTCTTACACATATGACCGCATGGTAGTTGCTTCTTACAAGGCTTTTTGCAAAATATAGTATCAGGATCCAAACAGCATGCTACCTCGTACATATGGAAACATTTGGTACGCCTTTTTCTAACTGTGATCTCACACTGTAAGCATTCCTCAAAGCAAGTTTTGTTACATTTATGAGGTTCTTCCGTATTTGTACATCCTTGAAGTTCCGTTCGCAGCGTTTTCTACATTTATACTGAAAAAAAAACATCACTGTTTAAATTAATTACTTTTAACTGGGAATAAGCCACAATTAAAGATACAAATACGTTTATTGACGTTTCAGTTTCCATTTCGGAAATCGTTCTCAAAATATAAACAGTAAATTAAATAAATTTTGTTTTTTTGTTACATAGTGAAAAATTGGAAAAAACATGGAAATCATACATAGAAAAATTATTTGCATCTGACAGGACTGATAATCACCTATATGGAGGAGGAGAAACAGGACCTTCAATCCTTAAATCGGAGATAGAAGATGCCATTGCAGGACTAAAAAACAATAAGTCAGCAGGTCCGGACAATGTACCCTGCGAAATATTAAAGATCCTATGTAAATCAGACAAACAGTTTCTTGATAATCTAGTTGTACTTTTTAACAACATATATAATAGCGGTAAAATCCCGGAGAACTGGCTGCAGTCAACATGTATTACTATCCCGAAGAAACCAAATGCCCAGATTTGTGATGACTACCGGCTTATAAGCTTGATCAATCATGTCACTAAAGCGTTCACTAAGATCATTCATAGAAGAATATATGATAAATGTGAGTCAAATATTGATAGATCGCAGTTTGGTTTTCGGAAAGCACTTGGAACTAAAGAAGCAATTTTTGCTCTCCAGGTGATTATACAGCGGTGTAGAGACGTTGATAAGGACGTGTATTTGTGCTTTGTAGATTTTAGAAAAGCATTTGACAATGTCAATCATGAACAATTGATAGGTATTCTGCGAAAGACAGGTATTGACGACAAGGACGTTCGAATTGTGGCAAACCTATACTGGGGTCAAACAGCAAGAGCAAAAATTGGCAACGAACTCACTAAAAGCGTGCAGATCAAAAGAGGTGTCCGTCAGGGGTGTATATTATCCCCACTCCTATTCAATATGTATTCCGAGGAAATATTTAACAAATGTATGGAAAATGCAAATGAGGGCATAAAAATAAACGGTGAGTTAACGAACAATATAAGATATGCCGACGACACGGTGATCCTTGCCAGTTCCATAGACGAATTACAACAGGTAATGGAAAGACTTTATTCAGTTAGTGAGGAATACGGCCTGAGCCTCAACTTCAAGAAGACAAAGTGGATGCTGATAAGCAAGAAGCAACAACCTGCTCGACAATTACGGATAAGTAACATACTAATTGACCATGTAGAATCTTATGTGTACCTTGGCACCAACGTAAATGCAAAATGGGAACAGACCATAGAAATTAAGGCGAGAATAGAACGAGCTAGAGCAGCATTTAGCAATATGAAAGAGCTCCTCATAAGCAAGGATTTGTCTCTTCCCCTAAAACTACGTATAGTTAAATGTTACATTTTTCCGATCTTGCTGTATGGCGTGGAGGCCTGGACGCTGACGGAGACGCTAACAAGAAAACTAGAAGCATTCGAAATGTGGGTGTACCGACGCATTCTTCGTATATCCTGGACCGAACATGTCACCAACATAGAGGTACTCCAAAGAATCGGAAAGGAGAAAGAAATTGTGAAAACAAAGAAAGCTTGAATATCTAGGCCACATATTGAGACACGAAAGTACCGTCTGCTACAATTGATTGTCCAGGGAAAAATAGACAGTAAGCGAGGGCCAGGCAGGAGAAGACATTCGTGGCTCCAAAATCTGCGGAAGTGGTTCGGGCTCACATCGGTCGAACTATTCAGAAGCGCCGCAAACAAGATCAAAATTGCCATGTTAATAGCCAACGTTCGCAACGGACAGGGCACTTGAAGAAGAAGTGAAAAATTCTTCTAATAATTTAATTTTATTTGACTCATTTATATTGACAATTCAGACATACATTATGCATTTTAAAGTAGACGACTTTAAAATGATATTGCCAATATTGTTGAGTTGCGCTCCTGGGACGACTTTACTTATAAGATAGTTCATTCGATTACATGAAATCAACTTTAAGTTGAGAATATCCGTCAGAAAAAAATCATAGCATGTAATTCGTCTTTAAAAGACAAACACATGACATGATGATAGTAAAATTCTCCTGTTAGTGATTCCATAGTAAATTATGAGGGGAAAACCAGGAAAAAAACCTCATAATACTATCCCGACATGGGAAGTATTTGTTCCTTGCATTTAGTTTACCTTCAATAAACACCAAAATTCTGATTGTATATGTTTCGTTATTTAAAAAACATAAATGATGTATTCTCTATATGTTGCTGACTTACTAATACTGGTATTTTCTTATTAATAACTTCCTCTTTCAATATTGGTAACCAGATCCTACTACATTCTGCCGAGGAATTTGCGACACAATTGGCCTCATTTAGCATAATTAGAGCCGCTTCTTTGATTTTTCCTTTTTTTACCATCCGTTTCTTTTAGGACTACATTTGAATTATTTCATTGAACCCTATGTTCATTATCCCATGCGTGTTTACATATTTGAGATCTATCAAATTCTCTATTTTTAATATAAGATTGATGTTCACTTATTCTAACATTTAATGGCCTTGATGTTTCACCTAAATAAAACTGATCGCATTCACAAGGTATTTTATAAATGCAATTCTTTGTCCTTTCTTGTTCATTGTTAGGTTTGGTTTTGGACAAAATAGATCTCAACGTGTTTGTTGTTTTGAATGTTGTTGAAATGTTGAATTTATTTCCTATCCTTTTGTATTATTCCTTGTGTATGCTGTAGGATCTCGTTTTAAGTTGTTCTGTTCTATTCGATCGATTGTTGAAATGTTTCTCCTCCAAGAACGAATTTTCGTTAGAACAAGTAATTTTGGCTCTATCGTATAAGGATTTAATTATTCCCTTGTTTACATTAATACTGTGATTTGATTTGAAATTTAAATATCTATTGGTGTGTGTTGGTTTTCTATACACCTGAGTCTCATATCCAGTATCGTTCTTAGAGATTAAAACATCCAGGAAAGGTAGCGTGTTATTATATTCCTTTTCCATGGTAAATGTTATTGTCTCCTCTTTATCGCTTATATCATTTAGGAATGTGTCCAACAACTCTGATCCATGAGGCCATATTGAGAATACATCATCTACATACCTCCACCATACTGTGGGTTTTAAATTTTGTTCAGAAATGATATTTGTTTCAAAATGTTCCATAAATATATCGACTAAGAATGGAGATAAACTAGAGCCCATTGCTAGACCAAAATTTTGTTTATAGAATTCATTATTTAGTTGAAAATATGTATTATCAGTACATAATTTTTTATTTTTTGTTACAGTTACTTTTTTTAATTTCGGTTTTATTTGACTAATTTATGGACTTCTAAATAGTAAATTCACATTTTTGAAAAGAAAAGCGTTCAGTTAATGCATACGTAAACCATCTACAGCTGTGTTATTTGCCGATGTATTAGAGAAACACCGTAAGTCCATAACTAAAGGCGTTCCTAATATGTAGCGCGCATGTCGGTGAAACACATGATGCAATAATGCCAATAATTTGCAGTTAAGTTCAATCTTATGTTGTAAATGCACGTAGAGAAATAAATGTGTAGTGAATACAATAGTAATAATATTGTGGTTTACTTATTTCTTTTAAAAGGAGTATAAGCGACAGTGATCATAACGATATTAATTTAACTAATCGAAAAAATAAGGAATAAAAATGTTCTATTAATATAGAAAGTACTAAAACGAGCTATTGTCAAATGAAACAAATACGTCAATTGGAAGAGGAAGAACGTATCTGAGTTCCATTTCCATCCTCCAGAGATTGCAAGTATACAGATTTTCCAACGATTTAGGTCGAGCGTTCTCGCGCAACTGTTTTAAAACTGCAGTCTACAGATTGTACTCGCAACTATTTTGTTAGTGTGCGCTCATAACAAGGCGAAGACCATAGAATGGTATCGTAGTATCATCGCCACGTAAAATAAATGCATTATTTTACAAGTTCCAGCTCCATCGTCAAAGGGCAGCGCCCAGCCTCGAGCCAGGTATCGGACCATAGACTTGGACCATAGTATTCCAGCTTAGTATTTTTTAGATCTTCGTCCCTAGTACTCTACGATCCACACTACGAGGTGCCGACCACCGAGCCTCGCTGCGACCATCGTATCGATTGACAGGTAAACTAAATGCATTATTTTAAATGCGAGCGTTCACTTAACTGTCAGTACTATGATCTAGGCGAGGATACCATGCGATAGTCTCCGTAATGAACGCACCCTTAGCGTCGGCAGTGTAAATTCACGGGGATTCGCCTGGGACTAATTTTTCACTAGTTTTTAACTGATATTTTAAAACAGTTGCATTGTAGTCGCTCGACTTAGCGACCTGACTACAAAAAATGAGCAAGATTGTTACTTGCAAAGCCCAATTTCCGCAACCGAAGTTAAGTAACGGCGTAGAAAAACAGCCGTTGATTTTGAAATTGAATTGATTGAAACTCTTTAAAACCTATAATAGAAAAAGTACTGTTTGTAAATTAGCCTTCTGTTTTCTTCACGGAGTAACAATTGACCGAGTGAGGCGACTTGAACTTCTTTTAAGTGCAGGAAAATCACCAATCGATAAACGGGGAAAAGTACCTCAGGCCATGCAATTTCTGGTAATATTACAGATGCTATTCGTGAACATATTAAGTCATATCCTATAAAGTTAGCTCACCATATTAGCGAGGAAAAGCATTATTTAAATGAGAAACCAAATATAACCATTATGTACAAAATGTGCAGAGAAACATTCCCGGAATATGCCACTGTTAAATATTCATACTACAGAAAAGTTTTTTAAGAAGAGTTTGAATTATCATGCAATGCTTGAGTAGCTTGCAATGAAAATAAATAGTACGCATTTAAAGAATAATGCAAAGAGAGTTGCAGCCGCCGAGAAAATGCTTCATCTACTACGGGCTAAGAAATTTTCAACTCAAATAAAAATTGTTAAAAAAATGGCTGAGTCCAACGACGAAATTGGAGTTATTTCTATATATATTATGCAGAACCTTCAACTGCCACT